CATCTTTTTGCTCATCCTCATTTCTGGGGCTCCTGAACAGCGCCGCAAATAAGGCCGAACTCTGTAAAACCACAACCAGTGCTTCTTTTCAAGTGTGCACTGGTTGCAGTGTGGCGTCGCTTTTGCCATGTGACCAAACAGAAGTACTGCCTTGTACAGTAAAAGTAACCGACAGAAAACTATCTGGCATGGGTGCTTCACACAGACACTCAGCCACCCACAAACTATCTGCCTTGTTTTGCACGTTTTTTCCCCACTCGTAAGCAGGAAGAACAACGGCATTGTATTTTGATGTGGTTGTCACCACCAAGAAGTCTTTCGCTACATTTACTATGCCTATGGAAACTAGGCGAGACGGGGTAAGTAGGAAGGTTTGGCGCAACACCAGCATACAGTTTCGAAGAAACGGCCAATGTCACAAAAACCGTTCGGCTAAGTGACATGTCAAAAACAAAGACACAAAGATCATAAGTCATAAAGTGTCGAGGCCGGGAAACAAGGAAACAAAGCTCCTCGTAACCTAATTTTAGAGGGGGGGTTATGGCGTGTGCAAAGTGCTGCATGTAGCTCGACGTCGAGCTACGTCGAGGTTGTTGGGCAAGGTGGGTGGGCTGAGGGGTGCCATTTCTGTGTTCAAAGTACGCTTCAAAAATTGCTGACGCCAGCATCGCCATTTGTACGGAAATGTGCAATGATGATGGACACAGAAACGGTCAACCAAAGAAACTTGAGCGAATCTTTACAGTGTTTGCCAGACCTCGTTAGACAAATTCACAGATTGGCATAGACTGTAATCTCGAACATTGCGAACATTTTCATTTCGTGATGAGATGTTCGCAGCCAATAGACGCTCTCGAAAAAACATTTGCGATTTCAGGTTTTGGTCCCAATTCAATTCTCGACAGTCTCAATTTCAATTGTTACTATTAAGGCCGGCATTTGTCCTGAGCGGACAGTTCGTCGCCGGCAATGTGTTCAAAGTGTGCCATTCGACGTCGATCGACGTCAGAGGCTCGACGTCACTCGACGTCGATCTTAAACGTCAAAACAGCGTCCTAACTACGTCGAAATACTTCGCACACCGCCTTTGCAGATACGAGCTCTACTTGAGGAGTCGTTCGAGAGAAAGTTCCAACAATTTCAATCCCCTTTGAACGATTCATCCACACGCGCCACATTTTCGAATACAATTCGCGAGAAGCAGAATTTACCCCAATTGCGATTGCATCATCCTGTGGTGGAGGATACTCTGCTCCAGATACTCTGCCTCTAAGCTTACTCGAAATGAATACTGTAATCCAAGTTTCAATACTAACACATCCAGCTCGCACACCCACCATGCGTTTGGTGTCACTTGAAGCCATATTCCTTGGAATACTCTGATCCATGAATCGGAACTTGGCCTGGAATCGGGCTCCAATGCGGGAGTACAAGTTTAGGATGTCTTTTTAGGATATGCACTTGTTCACTGCAGCATTTGGTACAAGTTTATCCTCCTCGAATTGGGTCTCAGCTTTGCTTCCCTCACGGTCAAAATGTCCACATGTATACCCTGTCCTCAATGAAGGTTTCGCAGAAGATTAGGCAGGGTGCAAGGCCTAAAAAACACGAGCAGTCAACCTAACAAATTCCACTAGACTACACTCAGCTACGAGGCAACCGGTGATAAATTCAATCGCCGCGGGTTTTCTGCCGCAAATCCAGCGGATCGTCAATTTTCGCCCTCACTCTCGCTTTCACTTTCCCAAAGAAAAAGGGCATAGCTCGCGAGAGCATCTGAGTTGTCGGGTGATTCGCTCAACGCCTTCTGAAACAGATCCTCCGCCTGAGTCTTATTATGGAGCCGTTGCCACGAGAACTGCGCGAAGCTCGTCAAAAGCCGCACGTCGTAAGGCGATCTTCGCATGGCGTCACGGAAGTATTTCTCCGCAGTAACTGTCTCTACCCACACCTCGTTCACAAATTCCGCAAACTCCGTTGGCAAGCTCGGCCGTCCTTTGCTGCTCTCAGCATTCTTCTCCAGACGTTGTCGAAACGCAACCGCCCTGCCCTCGATCTCCGCGCCATCTACAGCCGAGCAAGGACCCGCCGAAGCATGGCCATCCCTGCAGATTCTACCGGAATCGGTCGCCTCTGGCGACCACGGCTGTCTGAAGACGGGTCTGCACCCTCGGCTGTTGCACTCGAACGAGACCCACTGACGCCTCTGCTAGGAAGAACGGCTCGTTCCACGCCATGCTGACATCGTTTTTCTCGAGTATGCTCATTGGAGAGCACGGTGAGTCGACAGCAAAGCGCGCGGCTTGAGAAGATCTTGGGCGCTCAGTAAAGCGCTCGGGTTCAAGAAACTTGGAAGACGTCGCAGCGGGTGTAGCGGCGGATGGGTAATGGTGTTCTTGGGAGCATCCCCAGCCGAGATGGCTCACCGGGGTTTTAGCAGATGCATTCACGGCGTCGCTGCGGGGAGATTTGCTGCTCGAGACCCGACATTGCCGTGACGACGACAGGGGGAAGGTGATAGGTGAGCGGATCTGAAGACCGATGGCTTTGGCGGACGCGCCCTCCATAGTCAAGACTCAGGATGAATGTGGGCAGAAGGATGAGAAGAATCATGCACTGATGTGAGTCTTCCTGTGGCCTACTTGTGCTTCTTAGGAGGAAAGACAGAGACTTATGATGCCCAGTTGAAGCACACGGTCGGGAGAAGATGTCAAAACCCTAAGCAAACACTCATGGACTGAAGAAGAATGCCGGTGTCTAGTATCGATGGAGGACCATCATGAGCAGAGCAGACTGAAGGTTAGGTTTACAGTAGGACGAGACGGGACAGACTGCTGGAGCAGTAACTATGGGCTGTCTAATTCCAACAAAGATCACAACAGACAGCAACAAGAACGAGGGAAAAGAAACGTACAATATATTCTTGCAAGCACGCTGGACTGGCAGTCTGGCAGCCTAGCCCAGCAAGCCCAATCACGGCAATAAGCTGTTGATGGACGGACAGTCTGTTCTGCTGTGGCATCATTTCTACATCGCGCTGGCAGATCTCGGGTTTCCCGCCTCTTCTCCACCGTGGCTTTCCCGGGAACCCCTCGATCTTACCACTAGCATTGCTGACGTGGGACGCAGCCCGCCAGTGGGACGATTTGGACCACAGTCCTGGGAGGTGTTTAGGGGATACTTTGGGTGAAAGGGAGTGCCAGCCATGCCCAGCATTGCAGGAGTGCGACCAAGTGGCCGCGCAAGTGTGAGGAGCTACGAGAACCACAAAGTTTTCCGCCAACGGAGTACGGAGCAGCTTGCGACGAATAGAATTGGTCCCAACGGCAAGGCTGTGGGAGAAAACATCCCGGGAAACCTGTGAGCAACCGCATAACTGCGGGCAGGCAGCTGTAAACACGTGGTGTCGAGCATGCTGCTGACATCACCATATTGTGGTGATGGGAGTGGATAAACTTTTTACTGCACTTTTGGCGATGGCTGTGGTGTACACTCGATAACAAGGTCACTTTCATCGCGAAATGCCACTAGATGTGACACAATAACCCCAGATTTCACAAGAAGAAGTGGTGTGATGTGATAGCAACTAAACGTTTACGGTCAAAATTGCCTTAACGCTTTTTCCTGAACAGTTGCAGATATTCTTATGATTGTTTTCACGTGTTTTCTGACAAGAACGAGTTATCTACTCGAGGCCAGCGATTGGCAGCTCCTGGTTGCACTTTCTTCTGCCTTGACAGAGGCACCCAGTGCGTTAGCTTTACACTAGTTACAGATGTCCATAATCACAACTTCTCTTACAACGTAATGCGCAAACGAAATTATAAGTGGATCTTAAAGGCATCTAAATGCCATTCATATGCATATTCAAAGTAGGCACTGTTGGGAGGTAAGCGGAGCATTCAGAATATCATATTCCACATCCAGGAATTTGGGTCGCAACAATGGCCAGCTCTGGTGGCTTCTTTCTGCCTAGGCTTGCTTACCCGAGATCCTACGTGACCACTAGAAGGTTGTTTTCATGTCCGCTTGGTGTGTAAACAATGGCCCTGCGTGGATCAACCTTCCAATTTCCATCCACGATAAATTTGACCTGCGGTAGTAAAGGGACACAATTTTAAATAAGACTGTCACAAATCAGGTGCATATATGCACATAGCAAGGCAACACTGGAGCTACGAGGCTTCCGAAGTTTTTTGTTTTTATTTTTTCGTGCAACTACATGAGGTATGCATGGTTCAATCCGTAATCCATTGCTCATGAATTGGTAAGGTTTTGGGAAAGGCGAGCTAGCATGCCTCCTATGCAATGGTGTAGCACGAGGTTAGTACCGCAAGGGCCGTAAAAGAGTTGGGTGACAATAATGTGCGTACCTCATATTGTCCGGGGTACAGATGAAGAGTTGTTACGAACACCCCCGCATTTGACTTGACCATCTTGATCTGCCATCCAGATTCAAATTAAAAATTCGCGGCAAGTGAAAACACTACTGAGAAACGAGGAGAAAAACAGCACTGACGACATGGACTAACAACCACCCATACGAACATGCCCAGAGTGCATATCGGTACCCCCCCCCCCCCCCCCCCCCCCCCCCCAAATTTCCAGAACGCGTTGATTGAATCATGGCGGCACGGAAAAGGGCAAAGGTTGTTCGTACCCCGTCGGTCCATGCATACCCGGTTGGTCCAGCCATTAGAGGAGCCAGTGAGAAGCACTTCATTGCCGGGGTTGGGCCACACCACTCGTGTGGGCCATCCATACCCGGTTGACCCATCCATACCCGGTTGACCCATCCATACCCGGTTGACCCATTTCATGCATACCTGGTTGACCCATTTCATGCATACCTGGTTGACCCATCCCATGCATACCGGGTTGACCCATCCATACCCGGTTGACCCATCCCATGCATACCTGGTTGATCCATCCATACCCAGTTGACCCATCCCATGCGTACCCGGTTGGTCCATCCATTGAAGGAACCGGTGAGCAGCACTTCATTCCCGGGGTTGGGCCACACTACCCGAGTGGGCCTCAGCTGCACGTATGCCACCTGCAGCTCCCCCAGCTGCTGATCCTTCTCCTCCAACACGCGCCTCGTCTCCCTGCCAAGGAAAGATTGGGAGGGAACGGAGGGTGGCAGAACACGGGAGGGAAGGGAGGGGAAGTTGTTGGGCCACACCACTCGAGTGGGCGTCAGCTGCACATGCACCACCTGCAGCTCCCCCAGCTGCTGATCCTTCTCCTCCAACACGCACCTTGTCTCCCTGAAACGAGGTCAGCATAGGGAGGAAAAGGAAAGGGAGGGCGTTTGGGACCACACTACAATCAGAGTGCTATCCTGCCCTCCCTTTCCTTTCCTTTCCATTCCCGCAGGCAGTGCATCCAAGTGCATCCTCAGCAGCTCATCTCTCCACTCCCGCACCCTTGACCTCTGCTCCCCCCTTTCCCTCACACCCCACCTCCACACCCACACGCACCTGAATCCCCCTCCACCTATCCCATTCTTCCCCTCACCTGAACTCCGCAGCGAATATGCCTTCGAGAGCAGACACCTCGGCGCGCGTGGACCACAGCTCTGCTCGCATGTGCACCATCTCACTCTCCATCTCAGCCCCCTTCAATCATTGGGACCCTCACACCCATCGCCCCAACACCCACCTGAATTCGGCAGCGAATCTGCCTTCCAGCGCAGAGACCTCGGCACGCGTGGAGCGCAGCTCGGCTCGCGTGCGCAGCATCTCACTCTCTCGGAACTCTAGTGAGTCTGTCAGCCGCAGCAGCTCGCCCATTGTGCGACTGCGCATCTGATCATGTTTTACGGGGGGGAGGTGCAGTGGTGTGGTGGGGAAGGATAGAGCGGGGAAGGGAGTGGGTGGGAAGGTTGAGGCTAGGTGGAAAGAGCAGCACCTCACTCTCTCTGAACTCTAGTGAGTCTGTCAGCCGCAGCAGCTCGCCCAATGTGCGGCTGAGCATCTGATCACATGGTGTGGAGTGGTGGAGAGAGGTGGGGGGAGAGGTAGAAGAACGAAGGAGAGCAGAAGCATCACGAAATTGTGTATGCTGAGAGGATGTGTGGGTGTTTTGAGACGTCTCAAGACTCATCACGAAATCGTATATGCTGCTGAGGATGTGTGGGTGGTGAGAGCAGAAGCAAAACAATCACAGCATGTTCTCGCTCTGATAAACATCAACCAACTGATCACTTACATCGTCCACCTCAGCACTGACCTGTTCCAGCTCAGCATCTCGCCGACTCAGCGCCTCCCTCCCCTGCCTCAGCGCCGCACGCGTGGCAGCCAGCGATTGCTCGAGAGATCGGATGCGCTCCGTCACGCCTGCCAGCTCATCCGGGTCGCGCCTGAGGAAGGCAGCAGCTGGGGGAGGCTCAACTGGCGAAGCAGGGGGAGGTGGTAACCGGAACTTGCGCACTGGAGGTGAGGAAGGTTCCTTGCTCTGTGGTCTGTTTTCTGATGGCCGTTGCGAGTCTGTTGGTGAACGCCCTGTCTTGTCTGCATCTGCCGCTGCTGCTGCTGCTGGAGGGGGTGGTGCTGGTGCCTCACGTGCTGCGTCTTCTTCTGCTGCCGCCCCCGCTGTGGTTCCTGGCGCCTCTACAGCAGAAGAGGCGGAGCCGCGAGCCGAGGAGGAAGTGGATGGGGATGGGGGGAACGCACCCACAAGCCGTGACAGCACGGCTGCAGCTGAAGCAGACGCATCCTCATCATCAGTACCAACCCCTGGAAGATCAACAGCAGCAGACCCACCGCCAACAGCATCAGTACCCACACTAGCAGCAGCGCCAGTCCCAGTGAAAGAATCAGCAGTGGGTGCATTAGCCCCATCAGCACCCATCCCTGCACTGCCTCTCCTCCCCACCTCACCCTCGCTCCCTTTCCTTCCCACCCTCCGCCTCCTCTTCCTCACGCCAGGTCCATCTGGGGAAGGTGCCACCTCGTCTTGAGCACCAACTGCTATCTGGGGAAGAGGTGGGGGAGGTGTTATCTGGGATTGAGGAGAAGAAGGCGCTATCTCAGCTTGGGGAGAGGGAGGCGTTATCTGGTCCTGTGAGGGCTCTTGAGCTGCACCAGTCCCCGCAGCTGTCCCTACAGCTGTCCCTGAAGCAATCCCTGCAGCTGTGCCTGCCCCTGCACCAGTCCCTGCACCAGTCCCTGCAACAGCAGCTATGCTGCCAGCACCAGCCTCCAACCCCTCCAGCCTCTTTCTGAACGCCATCAGATTCGCCAGGCTGGCACTCAGTGCTGCATCAAAGCCGTCCAAATTCCCCACACTCCCCTCGATCACCCTCGCTCCCCGCACCCTCCCCTCTCCCACACTCCCCTCCCCCACTCTCCCTTCCAACACACTCCCTACCCCCACACCCCCATCACCCACTCTCCTCCTCTTCTCCTCCTCCTCTGCCTCCTCTCTGCTCCCCTTCTCCCCCTCGTCCTTCCCCGTGGCCCCCTCAACGCCCCCTCCTCCAATGCTTAGCCCCACACCAGGCTCCTGTACTGCTCCCCTCCCTGCCTCCTCTGCTCGCCCCTGGTTTGCTGGAGGGTTCTTTCTAGGGCGACCAACTGGCCTCCGCGGCTGCAGGGGGGCGGAGAGCGAAAGGAGGGGGAAAGGAGGGATAGAGGGAAAGACAATTTTAATCCGACTGAGAGGCCTCCCCTGCTCGTCCCTGGTTTGCCAAGCGGTTCTTCCTTGACGAAAATAGACCTTCCAAACCTAAAGTGCGCGCCCACAGGTTTCAGCGGCTAAGTCGACTCGGAAACGTCCTCTGCTCGCCCCTGGTTCGCTGGGGTGGGAAAGGTCCATGGCCGCCCCACTGGTCTCCATGGCTGCAGAGAGGAGGAGGTGGGGGGAGGGAGAGATGATTCTTCAGTCAACTCAAAAAACTTTCTCTCCTAGGCTACCTCTTTATCGTATAATATCATATCATATCATGTCATGTCATGTCATGTCATGTCATGTCATGTCATGTCATGTCATATCATATCACACCACCCACAAGCCAAGCACCCACCTTAACGGGACTGCTCGTAACCACTGACTCCTCCGGTACAGCTCCTGCCACACCGCCCCCCTCACTACCACCCTCGCCCTCACCCCCCTTTCACGCCCACCCTCGCCCTCACCCTTACGACCTTTGAGTGGACACAAAGGCAAGGCACCCACCTTAACAGGACTGCTCATAACCACTGACTCCTCCGGTACAGCTCCTGCCACACCGCCCCCCTCACTACCACCCTCGCCCTCATCCGCTCCCCCTCCCTTCCCCTCCGCCCCCCCTGCTGCCCGCCCCCTCCTCCGCCTGCCCAGCCCCATCAGCCTCGCCACCGCACTCCACCCCATGCCCCTCCCCACCGCATCCCCACCTCCCCCTTCTCCCCCTCCTGCGCCCTGTGTTGCTCTCTGCCCTGCTGCTGGTACTGCCTCACCCCTCCCTCCTCCGCCCACTCTCCCCATGCCCCCCATCCCCTCAATCCCCTGCATTTCCTGCCCTGGCCCCATCCCCATAACCGCCGTCTCCTCCGCCCCCTTCCGCCACCATTGCACCCCCTCCTCTCCCTCCTTTGCACGCCCCTCCCCGTCCCGCCATGCCCCTCCCCCCGCCTGCTCCCTCGCCAGTTGCCTGAGTGCGGCTGCCAGGTCCCCCCGCCCCGCTTGTCTCAGCTGCTCCTGTGTCGGCATGATGCCTGCCTGCCCCGCTGCCGCTGAGAACGCCTGCAGCTGCTGCCGCAGTGCAGCAGGGCTGGGATGGGCCAGAGGAAAGAGGGGAACAGGGGACATGTGAAGGAGGACGGGGAACGGGGAAAGGGGGAATGAGGAATGGGAAGAGGAAAACGGGAAAGGGGAAGGGGGAAGGGGGAATGCACACACGCATGCACTCAGGCATGACTCAGGCATGCAATCAAACACGCACTCAAGACATGCACACACGCATGGACACACGCATGCACACACGCATTCACACACGCATGCGCACACGCATGCACACACGCATGCACACACGCATGCACACACGCATGCACACACGCATAAACACACGCATAAACATATGCACACACACGCATAAACACACATATAAACACACGCATAAACACACGCATAAACACACGCATAAACACACGCATGCACGCACACACACGTACTCGAGAGGGAGAGTCTCCTCCTCCACTTTCCTCCTCTTCCCACTCGGCCGCCTTCTCCTCCTCCTCTTCCGCTTCTCCCCCTCCTCTCCACCACTCCCATACCCCCTCCTCCCACCCCCCCTCCGCGCCCTGCTTGCCCCCCGGTCACTAGCACCCTTCTCCCTCCCACCCCTCCCCTCCCCTTCCTCGCCTCCACTACCCTCACCATCACTCACGCCCTCACTCTCGCTCCCACTCTCCTCCCCGCCCCGCACCCTGTCCTGCTGCCTGCTCCCATCGCCCCCACGCTTGCTCCCCTGAACCCCGTACCCCCTCTCCTGCCCCCCACGCGCACTGCTTGGCACGCTTGCACCAGGGTCAACGGGAGAGCCGGCAGCGGCATAACCCAGAGCCCCTGCACCGGAACTGCCCAGAGGGCTTGCACCGGAATTGCCCAGAGGGCTTGCACCGGAACTGCCCAGAGGGCTTGCACCGGAGATTGTTGGCGCTCTTGCAGTGGGATCGCCTATAGAGGTAGAGCTTGAGGTGGGATCACTGAGAGACGTAGAGGTAGGGGTAGGTGGAGAGGAAGAGGTAGAGGAAGGGGAAGAGGAAGGAGTGGAGGTAGCGGTAGCGGCGGGGTTCCACTGGATGGCGGGCAGTCCCAGCTGCTGGAAGAGCGCGGACAGGCGCATCTGCGCGCCCTGCACCACACTTGAAGACACCTTCCCCTCGCCGTCCGACCCTGAGGTGCTCGTTCCCCCGCTTTCAGACGCGCTCCCCTCTCCGCTTGTAAACGCCCTCGCTTCCCCATCTGAGCCTGACCCTGTGCCTGACCCTGAGGGCAAGCCTGACGCTGAGGGCAAGCCTGACGCTGGGCCTGACGCTAAGCCTCCTTCCCTCTGTGCGGTGGAACCTCTGCCCTCGTCTGAACCGGAATCATCCTCTGATGACGACGAGAATTCCTCCCACTCGCTGCTGCTTCCCCCCTCCTCCTCTGACCAGCCCTCCCCAGCTGACAATACTTCTTCCTCCTCTGACGAAGAGGACGCGTCCTCGTGAGAAGCCTCGAGCGCCCAGGATAGAGGCTCTGGAAACGAATTACGCGAGGAGAAGGGAGGGGCAGCGGCGGGGGTGAACCTGTACGAAGGACCCAAGGCAGAGGGACGGGGAGGGGGAGCGGCAGGCGGTGGAGCAGAGGCGGGAGCAGGAGCAGGAACACGGGCAGGAGCAGAAGCAGGAACACGGGCAGAAGGAGGAGCAGGAGCAGGAACACGAGCAGAAGGAGGAGCAGGAGCAGGAGCACGGGCAGATGGATATAATTGGGATGTGGGCTGTGGGGGCGTGTCAAGCCCCGGCATCACATCCGCTCGCCAGTTCGCTGCTCCTGCCCCTGCCCCGCTCCTTCCCCCACTCGTTCCCCCACTCGTCGCCCCACTCGTTGCTCCTTGCATCACGCTACCTGCGCTTCTCCCGTCCGGCCTCCCCACGCCTCCCCCTGACACTGACCCCATTCCTCCTCCAACCCCTCTTGGCGTGGCACCCTCTTCCCCGCTTCCCCCTTCTGCCCAACCCTTCCCTCTACTATCAGCTCCTGGGGAAGGGCGGCGCGGAGAGGGCGGGGGGATGGGCGGGGAGGGTGGGGAGAGCATGGCGGACCAAAACCCTGACTCCGAGTCCACTCCGTCATCCACCGTTTCCACCTGCCGTTGACTCCGTTGACCCGAGCTACTCAGTTGACTTGCAGCCCGTTGACCCGGTTGACCCTCCCTGCCATTCCCACGTCTTCCACTAGCCTCTGTTATCCCCCATCCACTTGCATTTTCTCCCGCATTCCCCTTCCCTGTATTCCCCTTCTGCGCATCCCCCTTTACCCCATCCTCGGTCCCCGCATCCGCCGTCCCCGCGTCCCCCGCGTCCCCCACGTCCCAGCCGGCGCTGAGCCAACCGCCGTCCGCCAGGCACGCCGCCACGAGGTCGTGCCGGCCGGCGGCGAGCAGCTCGCGGCGCGTGGGGAAGCGGTCCGGGTGACCGTTGGCCACCATGAACTGGAAGATCGCCACCTCCAGCTCCACGCCGCCCCCCCATGCCGCGCCGCCTCCTACGCCGCCTCCCACGCCGCCTTCCATGCTGCCTTCCACTCTGCCTCTGCCACTAATGCCGCCGCTGGTGCCACTGTTGCTGCTGCTGCCACTGGTTCTGCTGATGTTGTTGCCATTGCTGCCACTGCTGCTGCTGCTGCCACTGCTGCTGCCACTGCTGTAGCCATTTGTCGAGCCTGAGGCAGCTGGTCTCAAACCATACCCGTTACTAGAGCTTCCGCTAAACCCAACAATACCGGAGCTGTTCCTACCATTACTGCTGTAGTCGCCTGTTCCCCCGACCGCACTGCCCACCAGCCCGCTTCTCCTTTGTCCAGGGGAACCAACACCTTGTAACGCGTACGGTGCTTTTCTCTTATTTGGAAAACAGAAGGAGCTAGCCTGAAAAACGTCCCTTTGCCGAACGCCTCTTCTCCGTTCCAACCGCGCAATCCCCGAATTCTGCGTCACAAGGTGCCTCGTTTCAAAAGCAAGCTGCCGTCCCTTCCAGTGGCGACACGCTCGCGACTCACAACCAGAAATACGCGAACATCGGGATTCATCGCGAGAGGAAAGACCTATCAGCAAGCCGTTCAACGACCTGCCTGAAAAGATAGGCCGTTGCACTGATCCCAAAACAAAAGCCCGCGGGTAATTCGCAATACCAGCAGGCTGGAGGAACGCCGGACGAGCTTGCGACCAATGGGGAGTTCGACCCGCCACCCGGACAGTACTATGTGACCGACACGTGGCAGCTGCTGGAGTATGCCAGCTGGCTCCTCTTGCTAAGTCCATGGGGCCTCCCGAATCTCGAGGCCCCAACTGTCTGATGCGAGCTAATCCGCGCGATTTCGGTGGACATGCATATGTCGCTAATCCGAGCAATCTATGTGACACGTATGACAGAAGGCACTACTACTATGCAGCTGTCGTAAGCAAGGGAGACACGACGTACGTGTGACGGGGTTGTGAAACGCATGACATGTATGATGTAGCTTGACCTCGCTGCATGATTAAAATCGCTCGCTCCACTCTGCAGGGGGCTGCATTCTCCACATAACCCTCCTCTCGAGCGGTCATTGAGAATTCTTAACGGTCATGGGAAATTCTTTGAAGTCTCTCGCAAGGACTTCAGTTCGGTACGTCGATGTGAGATTCTTCACTGGGAGTGAGATTCCATACTGTCAGTCAGAATGCTGTCCATAGTACCCATTGAAAAAACTCGATACGAGCATAACCTAGAAACCATCCCCCTACACCCGTCAATAAGCTTCCGTTAGAGATCGTTTCAGCGATTTGTTTACGAACTTCTTTGGGGAGCCTGAAGGCCCTAAACGTGCGACGATAATCCGCTTGACCTCTCGCTAGACCGAAACGCAACTGGAAGCGAGCTTCCGCACTCTAGACTCGAATTTCTGCGAGTACCGCTAAGGTAAGACACCCGCGATCTGACATGCTCCAGGTATGAAGCAGACAGAGTGGCACTGAGCTTCCGATGCTCCGGTATGATGCTAATTGAGTCTCCGAAATGGAGCTTTCGAAATGGAGCACGTACTAAGCAAGGAGCCACGGGAAGTGAACGACGGAAGCCTGCTCCATTCAGGCAAGTCGGATGCTCTCTGCCTTACCACGCTAGTCTAACAGGACCAGTCTTGAGAATTTATGATCTCAGGATTCTACCAGAGGGTGTTTGCAGGAGGAGATTCTGCAGCACAGAAGCTGGCGGGAAAACTTAGGCGCGTCCCAGAAGCTATATGTTTCCTGATTGCCTAACCAACCGACCTGGGTAGCATAATGACCGCGCTCACACGCGAATTACCATATTAGACCGTATTCAAACAAACTCATGCTCCTCCTGCAATGCAGCGATCGGTGGGCCCCAACCCCAAGGAGTGATCGTTGGGCGCTTCTCGAAACGCTAGCAAGCTTCGCAAGCTGACGATGAGGTGGCGAACCCCGCGAGGCCATGTGAAACCACAAACTCCTTTACTGTACTGTTCTACACCTTCCACAGATCGCGTTGGTAGGGTCAGATTGATCACACACGAGGCAATGGTCGTTACAGTACCTCCGAGTGGATTCTTGGCTTGTACTGCCACGTGGAAGCTTGATCAAGCCGTGTCGAAATGACATGTGGTCCAGGTTTTGCTGACAAGATCCAGCGCCCAGCAATCGAAGGACAACGGCAAAGACTCGACACGTTGGATTAGCGTCAGCGAAGTGTGACCACACGAGCCTGCTTGTCCCGGTGTTGGCCACACGCGTCAATTTCATGGTGCGCTGCGCAGTGATTACATAACGTTCTATGGTACACCACTCAAAAATCAAAGACGGCCTATATCGAGTTAAAACAGCATTGACCACAATAATTGTTCCATTCAACATGCAAGCTGCATGCTGTTGGTAGACCAGTTAGTAGCAAGATTAACAAATATCATAATCCATTTCATGAAAGCACTTGAAAAAGGGCATTCAACCATGAACCTTCTTTTCTGCCATGCGTCTCTGGAGCTCCTTCCGAAGACTGCAAGCCAGGGGAAACAACAGGCCATGCGAGGGGAAACAATGAACATTGTACATGGCAAAGGGAGTGCAGAAAGGGACAGATTGAACAGAAGATGAACAAAACAGGAACGCCTCAATTTCACTGCAAAACATCCCAATTCACAAAAACAATGAAAGGATACTTGCTGTTTCACATACCCTTGCTCGCGCTCTAGTCGACGAATCTCCTTTTGCTCCTTTTCCTCCTCCTCCTGCTGCTTCTGCTCCCTCCCGCCTCGTCCTCGCCTCCCCCCATTCCTCTCCTTGCTACTCCCACGACCCTCCTCACTCTCACTCCCACTCTCACTCCCTCCCACACGCCCATGCTCGGTCCCACCTGCATCCCTCTCCCCGTTCCATCTCTCATCCTCACCCCCATCTCTTCTCTCACCACCACCCCCCTGAACCAACCCCTCACCACCCTTCCGAACCGCCCCTCCTCCCACACCACCCTCCCCCTCATCCATCTCGTCAACCCCACGCCTGGCCCTCTTCCTTTCCCCTCCTCTCTCCTCCCCCCCACTCCCCTTCACCCCCTCTCCCTGCCCATCAGGCCTTTCCGAATCAGAATCATCTGACCGCCCTCTGCCTCGTACCACACCTTCCCCCACCCCCTCTCCCTCAACCCTCCCCTTCCCCTCAGCCCTCCTCTCGCTCTCATGCCTCTCCTCCACTCTCCCAGGGTCAGGGCTGTGGTTCCCTCCTCCTCCTCTCGCTCTCGGATCAGGGCTAACACTGCGTCTCCCTCCTTTCACTCTCGCGCTAGGACTAGGGCTGCGCCGCTGAGCCATGTGCTTGGGGCTGGGACTGCGTGGCCCTCCTCTCCCCCTGGGGCTACAGCTAACACTGCCTCTCCCTCCTCTCCCTCTGCGCTCCCGGGGGCTGGGACTAGGGCTGCGGCGGTGCCCCATGTGCTTGGGGGAGGGGCTACGCCCTCGCGGCCGGGGGCTGATGCCTCGCCCCCTCGGACTCACCCCCCTCCGCCTTCCCCCCTCCCTTCCGCTCTCCCTCGGACTCCTGTCCCTCAAATCCCTTGAATCTCTCCCCCTAGGGCTGCCCCCCCTTGGGCTCGCACTGCCGCTTCGGCCCCTCCTGCTGCCCGCTGCCCTCCCTCTGGGACTGGGACTGGGGCTTCTGTGAGCCCTGCGGTGATCTACCCCCCTCCGCTCAGGGCTCCTTCGGAAACTACCCCGGTAAGGGCTCCGCTCCCTGCCTCTCTCACCGCCACCCCGGCCCCTATACGGACTCCCCCCATCCCTTCCCCTGTAGGGGCTCCGCCCATCCCTGCCTCTGTAAGGGCTCCTCCTGTCCCTCCCATTGTCCCTCCCACTGCCCCTCCCACTGCCCCTGCCACCATCGTTCGGCCGTGACCGGGTGGTGGGGCTAGGGCTGGGGCTGCGGTGTCGCCTCATCACCCCATGCCTAGGGCTGGGACTACGTTGCTGCCTTCTTTGCACCCTGGGACTTGGGCTGCGGCGGCCAGGGCTGCGGCTCAAGCTTCTGCCAGGGCGTCTGGCAGGGCTTCTGCTGCTGCCCTCACGTCTGCCCCTCCTTTCCATGCCCCTCCTCTCGTCGTCCCTCGGCCTTCTCTCATCCTCCCATCCGTGCTCCCTGCCTCCGGCCGCACGCATTGCAGCAGAGCGCCCTCTCTGGTTCCAGGACAATGGGAAGAATGACAACAGGAAGAGAAAAGGATGGGCGAGAAGGGAATACGGATGTGAGGACTCAAGAAGAGCTGCTGCAGCGCAGCTTATGAACCTTCAAAACCGCACTTGTGTCGAGTCACCTAAATTGCTGCTTTGTCGAATCACCTGAGCTGCATAACCTTGAGCTGCTCTTTTAACACCGTCCCAAGGCATCTCACCCCAAGGCAGCTCACCTTATTCAGCAGCATCGCACCTCATCAAAGCAGTATCTCACCTCATCCAACCGCATCTCACCTCATCCAACCGCATCCCACCTCATCCAACCGCATCTCACCTCATCCAGCAGCATCTGTCGCAGCCTCTGTGCTTCTGCTGCCACCTCGTCTCCTCGCCTCCTCTCCTCCTCCACCCTCCTCCTCTCCTCCTCCTCCCTCCTCTCCTCCTCTTCCTCCTCTATTCGCATCCTCTCCATCCTCTCCTCCTCCTCTATCCTCTCCCTCTCCCTCCGCTCCTCCTCCTCCTGCATCCTCCTCTCTTCCTCCTCCTCCTGAGCCACACAGAGTTAAAAGACAAACAGAAAGACAGTGCAGAAAAATGCAGACAGTCACAACAAAGAGAAAGAGGGGAAAAACGAAATGGAGGAGGATGCATACAGGCAAGTGGACAGAGAATGCTCTTGCACTCAGCTGGATTCCTCTCACACACACATACATGCTGCTGACACAATCGAAGTGAAAGACAGAGATGGAAAGAGAGAACGACACAAACACAAATTACCAAAACCAGCTAGTAATACTCGAAAAGGAGGGAAATACTTATTTGAAAAAAAAGAAAAAGAAAGAGAGAGAGAGAGAGAGAGAGAGAGAGAGAGAGAGAGAGAGAGAGAGAGAGAGAGAGAGAGAGAGACAGACAGACATCGATCATCCTAGTAACAGCAATGCCTCACCTCCAGCCGTCGCCTCTCCTCCTCTTCCTCCAACTGCCTCAACCTCTCCGCCTCCTCCTCCTCCTCCTCCCTCCGTCGCTGCTCCTCCTCTTCCCTGCAAACGGGATAGGGAGGGGGCGGATGTGCTAGGGTAAATTGCACAACAGTGAGAAGAGGAGGACCAAGGGTGAAAATCGGCGGGAAGGAAGGACGATGATAAACTAAGGAGCAATGAGATGAGGATGAATGAAGCAATTTGACAGTGGGAGAGGGCAAGCGGCAGGTCACTTTTGGAAAAAAAAAAAAAGGAAAGAAAAGGAAATAATGGAAAAAAAGGCTTGGATGAAACCGAAGGGATAAACGGATTTTTCAAGACATCTCAACACTCCCTGTAACCTCCCCCCCCCACCCCACCAATTCCCCTCCCCTAGAAACACCTGCCCCGTAAGCCTCACCGACGAACCCTCTCTTCCTCCTCTCGCGCCTTCCACTCCTCCACCTCCTTCCTCTCTCTCTCCGCCCGTTCTCTCTCCGCCTTCCTCCGCTCCTCCCGCTCCCGCTGCTGCCTCTCCTCCTCGGCTCGCTGCTCCCTTGTGAATCGCCTCCTCCGCACGTTCCGCTCGTCGAAGTAATCCCCACCGTCGATCACCAGCTGTACTCTCGCCAGAGATAAAGATCCTTCCTGCAAGCAACCAATCAAGTGGGTGCAGGGGGGGAGGGAAGGAGGAGAACAGGGACATGAAGGGGAGCCGCACGTTCTGCTCGTCAAAGTAATCCCCACCGTCGATCACCAGCTACACTCTCGCCAGGGACGACGATCCTTCCTACAAGGCAGCGTTCAAGTGGAAAATCAGGAGGGGGAAGGGGGTTATGGGGGGAGGGGGGAAGGGGGGGGGGGGGGAGGGATTGGTGGTTAGGGGGCAAAGAAGGGGAGCCGCAAGTTCCACTCGTCAAAGTAATCCCCATAGTCGATCACCAGCTACACTCTCGCCAGAGACGACGATCCTTCCTACAAGGAATCGTTCAAGTGAAAATTCAGGGGCAGGGAGAGAGGGGTGGAGGGGGGAGGGGAGGAGAGGGAGAGGGGTGGAGGGGGGGAGGGGTGGAGGGGGAGAGCGGTGGAGGGAGGGAGGGGTGAAGGGGGAGAGGGGTGAAGAGGGAGAGGGGTGGGGGAGAACGGGGACATGAAGCAGAGCCACAAGTTTTTATCGTCAAAGTAATCCCCACCGTTGATCTCGAGCTGCACTCTTGCCAGAGACCACGATCCTTCGTACAAGAGACAACTGCTGTGAAACTGAGCTGCGCGCCTCAAAAGAAACCACGAGCCTTCCTATAAAAGATCGTGAGAAACTGAGAAAAAGAGAGGGGGGGGTTTGATGGGGAGGGGGGGGGGTTGATGGGGAGGGGGGGGGTTTGATGGGGAGGGGGGGGGGGTTGATGGGGAGGGGGGGGGTTTGATGGGGAGGGGGGGGGTTTGATGGGGAGGGAGGGGTTTGATGGGGAGGGAGGGGTTTGATGGGGAGGGAGGGGTTTGATGGGGAGGGGGGGGTTTGATGGGGAGGGGGGGGTTTGATGGGGAGGGGGGGGGTTTGATGGGGAGGGGGGGGTTTGATGGGGAGGGGGGGGTTTGATGGGGAGGGGAGGGAAGGGGGGGAAGGGAGCAATGAGAAGGAGTAGCACGTTTCCCTCGTCTAGAGCCCCACCGTAAAGCACAAGCTGCACTCTCGCTAGGGACCTGTGTGTGAGTGGGTGCTGTGCGTGCGCGTGAGTGTGAGCGTGTGCTGTGCGTGTGTGTCCTGGGAATGTGTGTGTGTGCGAGTGTGTGCGTGTGTGTGTGTGTGTGCGAACACATATCACTCGCTCTCACCTTCTTCACCGCATGTCAAGCCAGCGCCTTCACTGCATCACAGAACGTGCTGTGGCTAATTTGAGGCGTCTCATAACAAACTCAATATCACATCACATCACATCACATCACATCACATCACTCCCTCTCACCTTCTTCACAGCATGTCGAGCCAGCGCCTTCACAGCATCACAGAACGTGCTGTGGCTGCCGAACCTCACCATCACGTCCGTCTCCAGCTTCAGCGCCAAACCTGCTCCCAAACCTAATCCCAAACCAGCCGTCCTCGATGCTGCTGCACCAGCAACCCCCAGGGTTCGTCCTTGTGTGACTTTAGCGGGGGGGAGCTCCTCGTTGGGGTCTAGAAGCTCGATGTTCCTGTAACGAGGGAAGTATTCCAGAAGAAGCATGAAACCAAATGACAATTTAGAGACGTTCTATAAACGTTTTGCTCGTGTAGCGAGAAAGGATTTCCAATAAGGAGCATCTGGCGATGCATCTGATTACCTGATGCTTCACCTGATCGTATCACCTGATGTTGCACCTGGTCAATTCACCTGATGACCTCACCTGATGGTACACCTGATATTGCGCCTGATGGTCCTACCTGACGGGACCAAACGAGGAGAAGACAGTGTGGGCGATCAGCAGCGACGGCTTCGTGGAAACCCGCTCTTCCGCCAACCAGCGGCACGGAATGCCGCATACCCTCAGCGTATCCGGGCGCTTTTCCGAACCACCCTTCCTTCCGGATTCCTCTGCCAGCCAATCGCGCATCAGCTCGCCATAGGACGGCGAATCTGCTGGCTCAGCATGACAGGTAATTCGAGCCGCGGAAACCCTAGTTTCCCAACTTCCGAAGTTAGAGACCACAGAAGAGGCTACGGATTCTCCTGAGGGTCCCCATAATAGCAGCGTCGCCACGGCGATTGGCTCGCCACGTGTGATCTTATCGAGGTTCTTCGTCCAGGAAATCGTGAGATCTTTCTCGTTAAAAGAAGGCCAATTGGACGCCGACGCGTGGGATCTGTATTTCGCCTCGATCGCCTCGCGCAGCTCCCATTGGTTGACGAGCTTCGGTAACCCGTCTTGTCGCACGAAGGAGAGCGAGATCGCACGGTACGGCACAAGCGAGAGGCCATGCCCGACACGCAAGTCTGAAATATCTTCCTTCTCTTTCTGAACCAGCACGGGAACTAGGCTTGTCGCCATAGCTCCGCCGTCTCACGATGCACGAGTTTTAGGTCAGTAAACTACCTCCGTGCAAGATACTAGCATCTGGAAACGTTCTCAGCCGAGCCGACTCCTGGTCCTGGACTGGATTATGGAGTTGACAAATTCGAAGGAGAGAGGGAGAGTCAAGGCAGATCAGTCCAGTCCAGGTTTGCAATAATCGCTTTAGAGTGCACCGCGATACAACACGTAAAATGTGAAATAACTATCTTAGAACAATAACGATTAACTAAATACATGTGCTGGTCAGATCAGTTTGCGCATCACAATCCCTGATATCCAGCCAATATTTAGAAATCCGAGGTGCACATCTAAGGCAGGTAACAAAGGATAGCCCCGTCGAAGTGAGGAGGCGGCCTGAACTAGACAATCAGGCATTTAAGTGGCAACTCGATGTAAGCATGAAATAGGATTTGTCAGCACAGGGGAGGGAACATTCAAGTTACAAGGGAGTTCTGTCGTACAAGAGGGCTTAACCAAGACAGATGGAAGCCTGACTAAGGCCTTAAGCGGCACAATCAGGTGTACAATATCAAATCAAGGGAAAAGAGCATTGAGTCGAGGAGAAAATGTGTTTCAATCAAGTACAAGCATTGTTTCAGTCGAGGTAGAAGAGGGTGACGATCTTGCCCATGTCCTTGGCCTCCTGACACGTCTCCATGAGCAGCCGGCTGTCATGGAAGCGAATGACTTGTGAGTCGACACAGAGTCATTTCGAGCCCACCCCAATCCCGATGGGTGCTTAAGAGTGGAAGCGTTCTAATCAAGGTAGAAGAGGGTGACGATCTTGCCCATGTCCTTGGCCTCCTGACATGTCTCCATGAGCAGCCGGCTGTCGTGAAAAGCGAAGCAGATCACATGCTCCACCTCCGATAGAATGTCCATGTTGCACAGCCTGTGTGGCACATGGCAGGGAGGGTGAGGAGAGGACAGCGAGAGACAGTGAGGGGGGATAAGGAGCCACTTGGAGGCAGATCACATGCTCCAAGAAGACAGAATGTCCATGTTGCACAGCCTGTGTGGCACATGGCAGGGAGGGTGAGGAGAGGACAGCGAGAGACAGTGAGGGGGGATAAGGAGCCACTTGGAGGCAGATCACATGCTCCAAGAAGACAGAATGTCCATGTTGCACAGCCTGTGTGGCACATGGCAGGGAGGGTGAGGAGAGGACAGCGAGAGACAGTGAGGGGGGATAAGGAGCCACTTGGAGGCAGATCACATGCTCCAAGAAGACAGAATGTCCATGTTGCACAGCCTGTGTGGCACAAGGGGGAAGGGGAGAGCTGATGCCGGAAAGTAAGTGGTGCGAGCAGACATGCCAGAAGGCATGCTGAAGCAGATCACATGCTCCACCTTCGATAGAATGTCCATGTTGCACACCTGTGGGGCAGAATGAAGAGCGGGAGAGGGAAGGAAGGGAGATGGGGAAACGGGAGAGGGAAGATTTGCTGTTGATTCTCTAGAGCAGACAGACAGTCTCCCGTAAGCAGATCAAATGCTCTATATTTGATAAGAGCCCATGTTCCACAGCCCGAGGGCTCATGGGTAGGGGAATCACATGGGTGAAGGATGGTGCAGGTGAGAGGGAGAGGGTGACGAAAGTGAGGGGCTTTTGGGAGAGGGGCTATGGAATAGGAATGAGCGAGAGGTGGGTGAGCGACGCAGATCACATCACATCCACATTCCCCATGCTCGCCTCCCACAGGTCCCCCATGTGGCATGGGCTGTGCGCGGTTCTGAAAAACTTCTCCCCACAGCCTGTGTGCAGATGGGCGAGGCGATGCGATGTGGGAAGGGTTTATGTTGAAGCTGGAAGGAGAAAGTGGGCGGGGCAGCAGGCAATATCTGCTGCCTGGGAATGCAGTGCCATACCTGCTGGCTTCCAGTAGTGGCAGATGGTCGTTGTGAGGCTTCTCCACTAGGTTCTCCACCTGCCATAACATGGACAGCCAGTTGAGGGTGGGGAGGGAGAGAGTAGGAGAAAGAGGAGAGTGAGGGAGACGGAGAGAATTATGAAATGGATAACGGTCAGCAGCTCATCGATCGACCCTTCGTCCTCGACCTCCCTCTCACCTTCTCACCTTCTCACCTCCTTCACTCACCATCTTCAGCACCTACCCCTCCTCACGTGCACACCTTTTTTAGCAGCTCCTGGCCTTCAGGCGGCTGCTTGTCGAGGGACTGCGGCAGGATGATGGTGAGCAGCTCCTACCTCTCACCTTCGTCTCCCCTTCACTAAACCCTGAACCCTGTTCACCTTCTCGACTCACCTTCTTGAGCAGCTCCTGGCTTTCAGTAGGCTGCTTCCCCAGTGACTGCGGCAGGATGACGGTCAGCAGCTGCTACCTCTCAACTTCGTCCTCCCCACTTCGCCCTCCCCCAGACTCACCTTCTTCAGCAGCTCCTGGCTCTCGGGAGGCTGCTTGCCGAGCGACTGGGGCAGGATGACGGTGAGCAGCTCCGCCTTCTCCGCCCTTAGCGCCCCGCGGATCACTGCCGCGTTCGTGCCCGCTGCCCCCGACGTGTAGATGTGGTTGTTCTGCACGCAAGGTGAGGAAGAGGGGGACGGGGAAGGGGGGGACCAAGAAAAGTTGGGGGTGGAGAGGGGAGGGGGAAGGAGAGGGAGGGGGGAGATCAGCGAGGGGAAGAGGGTGGGAAGAGGAAGGAGGGAAAGAGGGAAGGGGGCGTTTATTGAGGGAGGATTGGAGGAGGGGACAGGGTTTATCCACCTGTCAGGGGAAGTGAGAAGAGGCGGAGTGGCGAGAAGGGGAGAGGGGAGAGGGGGATTGGGGAGAGTAAGAGCAGGGAGCGGGTTTTGATTATCACACAGCACAGAACAGGAGTCACCAGCCTCCATCTCACAGTGATGATAAATTCTGAAGATTCTCAAAAGCGACTCACAGTGATGATGATGGCATAGCTGAGGATCTTGATGAGCTGCTGATGCATGGAGCCCATGTTGCGCGTGCCAAAGAAACACTCGATACAGCCCCACTCAGTCTCAGATCACACATCGTGATATCATGGCATAGCTGAGGATCGAATTCAGCTGTTGGTGCACGAATCCCCTGCTGCCACAAAAATACCTGATACAGCCCCATTGATACAGCCCCATTGATACAGCCCCATTGATACAGCCCCATTGATACCACACCAAACACAGCCCGCATCGCACTCACCGTAATAATCATGGCATAGCTGAGGATTTCAATCAGCTGCTGGTGCATGAAGCCCATGTTGCGCGTGCCAAAGAAGCCAATGTTCCGCGGCCCCGACTGCTGGATGGCCAGCAGCTCCTGCAGGTAGTCCACGTCAGGGGGGCTCCTCTGCGTCTCCACCACCAGCGTCGTCGCCCCTGTAGTGATCGCCTCCAGCTGCGTAGGCAAGTCCTCCGTGAACATCCGAACCTCCATGCCCCTATCCATACCCCCCCCCTGCCGCATCTCCATGCCCCTCCCCTCCTGCATCGCTGCTAGTCTCCCCTCCAGCCTTCGCTCCAAATCCCTTCCCCCGGATGCATCTTCATCCGAAGCAGCTGCTCTCGAATTCGAGCCTCCTGCAGTGGTGGCGTGTGGTCTCACGGGTCGGGCAACCTGTGTACCATCAAAGGAACGACCGTGCCGCGGCTGCTGGCAGTGCAGCGACAGTCCGCGGAGAGGCAAGGAACGCCTTGGGAATGCCGAGCTACTCCAGCTGACGAGGGTCGCTCGGTGGTGATTGGTGATGGGTGAGAGTGGTGCCACGTGTCCGTTTGGGCGTGAGGTGCGCCTGGGAAAGCAAGAGGAATTGCAAAGATGGGGAGCGATTTGATTAGAGAAGGGATCTTTCTTCGAGTATTGAATGAACTGGATATTCGGATGGCTTCTACGCGTGCGTGTGAGGTGAATCTGAGGATCGACAAGAGGGATTGGAGACCTGTGGATTGAAAAGAGGATCCCAGTGGTGAGTGAGCTGGATGATTGGCATTTTGAGACTTCATTGCAAAGGACAATTGGATGAGCTGCAGTGTTTTGCTATTACGGGTTTACTTGTAGGGTTGTGAGCTGCTTTCGACAGGGATATGACCCATTACTGGCAGTGCGCACTGGCTTGTTAATCAAAAGGCAGTGTGGAATACCATTCTGAGTCGACTCAAAAGTCATCTTGCTTTCGTCAGGGATATGATCCGTTACTGGCAGTGCGCACTGGCTTGTTAGTCAAGATGCATGGTGGAAGAACACGGCGGCTGGATCAGAAAGTTCTCGTGAATGAAATGGCTTGACGATGGGGACGAAAGCGGCAAAGCAGCACCAGAGGAACGGCGAGAATGCGACAGAATGAAAGGCGACGGCATGAAGGCAACAGCGTGAAGGAGACAGTATGTAAGAAACAGTTCTGTCGGCAACAGTTGACGGCGACGGGTAACGGTGGGGATCATGAAGATCAGAAGCGAGGAAAAGTTAAAAAAACGGAGCCACGACCAGAAGCAGAGCCATGATCATCAATATGACTGTGAAACGCTCGTCTTTACTGCCAGCACACCCACACCCAGCACGTACCTCACGCACCCAGCAGGAGCTGGCTTTGAGTCAACTCGAGAATCACCCAGCACGTACCCGACGCTGTGCAGATGCGTCGGGGAGGCGAACGCGGATGGTCGAATACCCAACATCAGATCCGCCTTGAGTGTTACCGGCAAGGGTCCAGGAACCTTTTCTAGTACTTTCTGATAGGATATCCTAAACGTGCTCCAGAAATGCGTAAAAGAAGAATGGCTCGCACGGAACAAAGCTGTCGAGGCGCGCAGGATCTCAAAATAATTCAGAAGAAGCGGCGAGACAAGAATGCGATTCACGCCAGGTCGGCTGTAAGGAGATTATGCCTACCGACGAGCCTCCAAGCGAATATACTGCTTGAAAATACAATCATGTAAGAAAAACTGCAGTCGAATCTTGAGGCACAAGCTTAGAAGGAGACCAGTGTCCCGATCGAATCGCTAAGACGCCATGGAACTTGAATGAGACCAGGAATCTGTGAGCAAGAACAAAAACCAAGGCTGGTCGAAAGATGCATGTTTGGCTGAAGCAGTGCCTCGCCGGAAAACCTGGCTGCTCGGAGCAATGCTGGTTGCAAGCTAGGAGTTCCTGATCCGGGCAGCAGAAACGAAGCGGTAATGAGAGAGCAGGAACGATGATTGGGTCACGTGGTAAGGAAGACATTTTCGATTGGTCAGTATACGATTTTGTCCCCGACGAAAGGGCACCTTTTGCCTCAGCGACTGTCCCTTTCGCGTCAGCGCCGATGCACCATTTTAGCTGAAAAAAAAATGCTGTAATAACAGCACCCAGAAGCTTACAGTTGCATAATGTTACACTATATCCTTACACGACTAGTTAAATGCTTTTCTGCTCATTCAGCACCAATTGCCAGCAGATGCATATGCGTGGCAAAGAAAAACTGAATAAAAGCTGGGAACTCCAGGAACTCAATGTGAGCCGCTCTTCCCAGCAGGCGGTTCAAATTACGTTGCTGTTGCGGCAACTCAAAGTTAACGTCACAGCGAATGAATGATCGATCTCCAGACGTCCACGAAGGATGGGAGAGGAATGGCGCAAGGCAGCCTTCAACCATTGATGTGTACACGCCACCGAGACGAGCATCCCTCAGCACCGCACCGAAGACCTCCAGACGGGCGGAATGATACGGCACATACTCGTCCTGAGGTGGCTCGACAGGCGGGCACAGGAATGGGGAGGGAGAGGCGATTGAACGAGTGACATGGAGTGTATGGATAAAGTGCAAGCTGGCGTGGCATAAGTCAGGAAGATAACTGATGGTTTGCAGGGCGGCATGAGTTGATGAGAGGGGAGGGAGGGATGCACCTGGGGCGAGGCAAAGAGAACGATGTGCTTGAAGTGGACCCACTCCTGGCGCTGCAGGCATGGTGGAGCAACAAACAGACAGAAAGGGAGAGATAGAAAGGGACACACAGACACGGTGGGTTCCACAAGGAGTGTGAAAAGCCAGGGATTAAGTCAGGGCTGACAGCAGATTGCAAAAGTCACACTGGCACACACATGGATGTCTGTGTGTGATTGCGGAGTCCGCAAGTTGGAAAATTCTCAAGCACACACAAGGCCGGACCGACCTTTGAGTCGACTCAGAAGTAAAAATAACAATAATATAAATTACACACGGCCAGACCGACCTGAGAGAGGCGGTAGATGCAGGAGTCGCGGACGTTGAGCGAATCGGAGAAGGACAGCTGGCGTATGAGGGAGGAGGGGTCGAGGGGCTTGAGCAGCCACATGCCGCCCGTGACGAGGGAGTTGGAGTGGTACATGTAGCCCAGGTGGGGGCCACAGAAGGACAGGTAGAGGTGCAGATAGGGCAGGTACGGCCGCATGCTGTCGTCTGCAGTGGGGAGCAGGGCAGGAGAGAGGGAGTCACGGGATAGAAGATGTGTAAAAAAAGGCACAAAATGAAGGCCCTTGGGCAGGGAGTTGATTGAAGGGGCCAGTGGCATGGATTTGTGGAGTGTGGCAGGCACACCCCCTCCCCCACCCCGGGCCCCCGTGACGAGGGAGTTGGAGTGGTACAAGTAGCCCAGGTGGGGTCCACAGAAGGAGAGGTAGAGGTGCAGGTAGGGCAGGTAGGGCCGCATGCTGTCGTCCGCAGGGGAGCACGGCATAAGGTTGGGGTTCAAAGGATGGAATGTCTTGGGAGCAAAGAGAAGCCATGCGAATGGCAGGGTCAATTGGGACGAGTGAAGGTGCAGGTAGGTCAGGTGAGGCCTGGGGCCACGGCCCAGGTGGGGCCACAGCCCAGGTGGGGACCAAAGGGGGACAGGTAGATACGGCAGACATAGCCAGCATCTCACATTCGTAAGAGAAGGTCCGGGGGCTAGATGACCTGCTAGCACCGCCCATTACCTGCTAGCACCGCCCATTACCTGCCAGCACCGCCCATTACCTGCCAGCACTTCCCATTACCTGCTAGCACCGCCCATTACCTGCCAGCACTTCCCAATACCTGTCAGTGCAGCCCATTACCTGCCAGTGCCGCCCGCACGACAAGGTTCCCAATGGAGTAGCCCACAAAGGACAGCCGCTGCAACACGTTCTTCCTATTGGGCCGGTCGATCGGCCCAAACATGCTGCGTAACGCGGTTACCACCTCGTGAGCCAGGCGAGCGCCCATCGCCTCCACCCCACTCAGGTCGGGGGCGCGGGCGGGCGAGTGCGACGAGGAGGAGGGGGAGGGGGAGTGCGGGGCGGCGGAGTTTGTCTCGTTGCTCTCGGCCATGAGGCACTCAATGTCCGGGTCTAGTAGGCGCCAGCTGTCACGCACGAGCCTTAGGTCCATGCGGTGGCCCTGATAGCCATGCACAAACACCACCACATGCTTCCCCCGTGTCGCCTTCCTGCCACCCTCCCCTCCTGTCGAACCTGCGGCAGATACACCTGGGGATTCTGCACCCCCTGCTGCTGCTGCCGCTGCTGCTGGGCTGAGTGACGGGAGGTGGTTGAGATGGGTGGGGATGGGTGGGCGGTGGGGCGAGGAGAGGCAGAAAGGGATGGAGGCGGGAGGGTAGGAGTGCAGAGAGGAGAGGAGGAAGTCGAGAGAGGTGGAGGTGGTGGGAAGGAGGGAGGGGGACATGGGGAGGGGAGGACTGGGGAAGGTGGATGTGGGATTAGTGGCGTCTATGACAGAAGCAGCAGCAGCAGCAAAGCTGGCAGGTGAAGCAGGAGTGGTGGGAGTGGAGGGAGTAGTGGGAGTGGTGGGGGTGTGGGGCGTGGGTGTGAGAGGAGGTGAGGAGATGGAGGTGAGGGAAAGAGGCAGCAGCGAGTGGCAGAAGAGCAGCGGCTGCATGAGTGGGCGGGAGTAGAGACGCATGTCCTGCAGGCAGGACGGCACACAGGGCAGCGTGCGCTGGGGGACACAGAGGGAAACAGGCAGGGCAGGATGGGGGAAGAAGGGAGGGGGATGAGGGAGAGGTGAGGGGCGGTGTGGGGTTATTGAGAAGGAGTGGGTGCGACTAGAGAAGCATGTCCTGCAGGCACGACGGCACACAGGGCAGTGTGCACTGGGGGGAAGCATAGGGGAACAGGCAGTGCAGGGAAGCAGGGAGGGGCGGAGGAAGAGTGGGAGAGCACAAGGGCATGAATGGGCGAGGAGGCAAAGAGAATAAATATGGTTGAGCAGAGGAAATGAGGAACGGAAGGGGTAGATAGAAGATCATGGCAGTGATGGGGTTACGGCGGCACGAGAAGGGAACAGTACCAGGTTGAGAGTGGTGGTGAGGGTGGGTCGAGGCAGCAGCTGGGGCCGGCAGGGAGGCAGGGCGAGCACGGAGGAGGGCACTGCAGGCATGGCCGCCCGCACCTGGCGGGCCAAGGCTGCTGAGAGGAGCGCCAACTGAGAGGGGTGTGGGGGGAGAGAGGTGTGGCGGAGGGAGGAGGCGGGATTGGGGATGCAGTTATGGCAGCGGTGGGTTGGCAGGGCGAGCACGGAGGAGGGCACTGCAGCCATGGCCGCCCGCACCTGGCGGGCCAAGGCTGCTGAGAGGAGCGCGAGCTGGAGGGGAGTGGGAGAGATGGAATGGGGACGCAGCAGTCAAGTGAGGGCAAGGCCTCACGAGGCCCCTGAAACGTCACTCTGAGGCGGCCCTGGAAAGCCGTTCTGAGGCGCCTCACAAGCAACTCGCACCTGGGGAGCCAAGGCTGCTGAGAGGAGCGGCAGCTGAGAAGGTGTGAGACGAGAGAGGTGGGTGGGTGGATGCTGGGATAAGACAAGCAGAAGAATAGCAAGCCACTCAAGTCGGTGTCCTCTTGTTGCAGCAGGGAGTGCTTGGCGATAGTGACATTGAGGCAGCAAGCAATCAAGGGAAACCTTCATAGTGGACCTCGAGAACTAAGAGAGTCAGAGGCGGAGAAGACAGGCAGACGACAGGTGACTTTCGAGACGTCTCAAAACTCGCGGCAGCAAGCAATCAAGGCAACAAACTCTGAGCGGACCTCGAGAATTATGAGAGTAAGAGATGGAGAAGACAGGCGGACGGCAGGTGACTCACATCGCTCTGCTTGTCTGGCGGCATGAATTGCCTGGCTGTGGTGACATCGGGCCAGCGGTCGAGGCCAAAGAGCTGCTCTGTCTGCATGGGCGAGGAAGACGCATACACCCACGGCGCTGCTTCTCGTGTTTGGTTTGCCACCCACTGCTGCCGCAGCACCGCACACAGCTCCACGTGGCACAGCCTGTTTGGATGGGAGGAGGAGCGTGGACGGGTGGAATGGAGGGGGGACAGGAGCAAGGGCGGAAGGAGAAAGAAGTGGTTCTGTGCAAGTCAGAAACCTGCTAACCTTGCGAGGTGACTTCTGAGTCGACTCACAAGTCACCTTGCTAACCTCTGAGCCGACTGAAGAGGTTCTGTGCAAGTGAGATACCTCTAACCTTGCTAGTGCTTTGGCTTCAGTCCTTAGGAGGGATCGCGAGGAAAGAGGAAGGGACAAAGTGACCGAACACGGTTTCACATGCAAGAAAAACCCTTGTGGTGCATACGTCTTACGCGTGTGCAAAAGCTGCGCATACGTATTACGTGTGTGCAAAAGCTGCACATACGTATTACGCGTGTGCAAAAGCTGCGCATACGTATTACGTGTGTGCAAAAGCTGCGCATACGTATTACGCGTGTGCAAAAGCTGCGCATACGTATTACGCGTGTGCAAAAGCTCATGTGTGAGCCACTCATGTGTATTACGTGCATGCTGAGGAAGGACGTCCAGTAGGCAGTCACGAGACTCCTATTGAAGCAACCAAAAGCAGCAACGGTCAGCAAGTATGCATTGAGGCTTTAGATGTGTGACGACTCGCTTGTGCATGCCGAGGAAGGACGTCCAGTAGGCAGTCACACGAGAGAGTGCTTTTGAGGTGTCTCAAAGATGGATAGACGGTCATTGCTTGTTGTGAGGTGTCTAAGAATTGAACAAATGGTCAGCAGCGTGCTGAGGAAGGACGTGCAGTAGGCAGTCACACAAGAGAGAGAGTGTTTGTGAGGAGTCTCAGAAACGCACAGATGGTCCGCAAGCAGTGGAGTGGAGACTCACTTGTGCATGCTGAGGAAGGACGTCCAGTACGCAGTCACACGAGAGAGTGCTCGTGCTTGCTGAGGAAGGACATGCTGAGAGAATGGTCAGCAGCAGAGACTCACTTGTGCATGCTGAAGAAGGACGTCCAGTACGCAGTCACGAGACCCTTTGCAGCAACCTTCACTGCTTCCACTTCCTCCTCCGTTAAACTCACACTCCCATCAGTCACAGTCACTCCAGTGGTGGTGGTGGTATCCCTCTTCCCTAACTGACTGCCCGTCCCATCCTCTGCACTCAACTCCGCCTTCCCACTTTCCTCCCTGCTTCCACCCCCAGCATCGGCATCACCCCCACCATCATCACCGCTCTTTACCGTGCCCGACCCACCACTACTCTGCTCCCCTCCCCCATCACCCCCCACAGCCACACCTTCTCCCTCCCACTCCTGTGCTCTCCCCTTCAATCCATTGTCACCTCCGTTACAGTCATTACCACCCCCTTCACTACTCGCTGCATCCTCTCCACTCCCGCTCGCCCCTCTCTCTGTTGCTGGACCTGGCCCCTCACTTCTGCTCGTCTCCACTCCACCGGATTTCGCCCTTGCCCTGTCAGCATCTGCCCCGTCAGCATTTGCCCTGTCAGCATCTGCCCCGTCAGCATTTGCCCTGTCAGCATCTGCCCCGTCAGCATTTGCCCTGTCAGCATCTGCCCCGTCAGCATCTGCCACGGCAGCACGTTCCCTGTCAGCATCTGGCCTGTCAGCATCTGCTCTGTCGGACTGACCCATCAGCTTGCGCAGTGCACTGGCGAGCACCGGAGAGCAGAGCGACTGGAGAAAGGGGGAAGGAGAAGGGACGAAGGTGGGGAAGAGGAAGGGAGTATTAGGGATGAGGAAATAATACCAAGAGGGATTGAGAGAGGGAATAGTTTCTTTTGAGTATGTGCATACCAATAATTTGAGAGAGTATGTGCTGGTGTGGAACAAGATCTTCACCTGTAAATGGTTATGTGACCATGCATGGAATGGAAATCATACACCACCCCCCCACACACACACCCACACGCACCCACACCCACACCCACACACACCTGCTCAGCCATGGCGTCTGGGGGAGGCAGCAGGTGGTGCAGGTGGTGCAGGTTGTATGTGGCAGCGAGCGCAGCGTTGAGCGAGCGCAGGAGGAGAGAGGACTCGAGCAGCAGACACGCCATGGTCGCTGTTGCGGGCTCTGCTAGCTGCAGGGGAGGAAGGAGTGGTGTGTGAAGGGAAGAGAGGGAGTAGAGTGAGTGAACGGAGACAGGACTCCAGCAGCAGACACACCATTGTCGCTGCTGAGGGCTCTGCTAGCTGCAGGGGAGGAAGGAGTGGTGTGTGAAGGGAAGAGAGGGAGTAGAGTGAGTGAACGGAGACAGGACTCCAGCAGCAGACACGCCATTGTCGCTGCTGAGGGCTCTGCTAGCTGCAGGGGAGGAAGGAGTGGTGTGTGAAGGGAAGAGAGGGAGTAGAGTGAGTGAACGGAGACAGGACTCCAGCAGCAGACACACCATTGTCGCTGCTGAGGGCTCCGCGAGCTGCAGGGGAGGAAGGAGTGGTGTGTGAAGGGAAGAGAGGGAGTAGAGTGAGTGAACGGAGACAGGACTCCAGCAGCAGACACACCATTGTCGCTGCTGAGGGCTCCGCGAGCTGCAGGGGAGGAAGGAGTGGTGTGTGAAGGGAAGAGAGAGAGTAGAGTGAGTGAACGGAGACAGGACTCCAGCAGCAGACACACCATTGTCGCTGCTGAGGGCTCTGCTAGCTGCATGCAGCAATTAACACAGAGAGCAAAAGGGAGGCGAGAGTGGGTGTGATGGGAACCACTAATCGGAGAGAGGACTCGAGCAGCAGACACGCTATGGTTGTTGTGGAGGGCTCCGCGAGCTGCAGGGGAGGAAGGAGTGGTGTGTGAAGGGAGGAGGGGGAGTGAAGGGAGGAACTAGAGTGAGTGCACGGATAAAGAGGACTCGAGCAGTAGACTCGCCATGGTTCTTGTTGAGGGTTCTGCTAACTGCAGAGAGTGATCAGAAAGAACAGAAGGCAAAACGTTGGGAAGGGGAACGGGGGAGGAAGTAGGTGTGAAGGGAGGGAGCAACTGGAGCAGCAGACATGGCAAGGCAAGGTCCTTGTGAATTAGTCAGCGAGTCAGATCCCCTTTCTTGCATGCTTACTCATAACGTGACAGACACCTTCCCTCACTTACTCACACACACACTCACCTTCGCCTTGCCATTCTTCTCCCGCTCCCCTGCTCCAGAACCCTCTCCGCTCCTTCCCCTGCCCGCCCCAGGCGCCTCTCCATCCTTCCCATTGGCCGCACCACCTGTGATTCCAGTTCCCCCTCTGGCCACACCAGCAGCAGCCTCCCCACCTCTGGTGGGAGTGCTCTCAAGCATCTCATCTGGAAATGACTTGTCTGCAACATCCTTACCCACCACGTCACTCTGCTCCCCCTGCGCCACAACAAAGCTACCCTCCGCCTCATAGAACTCCTCCCTGCCCTCCGCATGGCCTCCTGTGTCTGCCCCTGCAGCTCCTTCCCCTGATGCACCTGCCACTGATGCACCTCCCCCTGCTGCACCTGCCCCTGATGCACCTGCCCCTGCTGCTGCCCCTGCTGATATACCAGCTCCTCCTGCTGCTGCAGTTACTGCATCTGCCCCTGCACCTGCAGCTGCAGCAGCGTGGCCTGCAGCTGCACCCTCGTCTGCACTGCCTGCACCAGCCAATTCCTCACCACCACCAGCCCTGGGAGCATGAGCATCAGCAGCAGTCACAGCAGTGGTGCCGGCAGCCTGGGATGTAATGGCAGGGGCGCTGTCATCTTGGGACGTAACAGCAGTGGTGGGCTGCTGGGGGAGCGGTTGTGAGGAGTTGTCAGAGGTGTAGAAGGTGATTGGAGGCAGATCCGCCGGTGGAGGGAGTGTGGCGGGAGGGGGTCTCACTGGACGCACAACCCTGGGGTGTCATGGTGGGGAAAGGTCGTTGGGAGTGGTGGGTGGGAGATTTGGAGGAATTGAGGATAGGGAGCAAATGCTTGCGCGGGGAGTGAGGAAGAGGGAGGGGAGAAATAATACATCTAGGAATCTCTAAAACTTGAGTGTCACATGCCGCCAGGGTGTAACACTACTGACCTGGGTCGAGGTGCGGAGTGCAGAGGCGGGTTGGAGAAGTACAGCATGGCAGCATGCACAGTGGCGTCCAGCTGTGCGAAGTGCATGGTGTCGAATGTGACGGGCGTGTACTCGTGCATGTGCTGCCACATAACCATGCTATGTGCTGCCACACACACACACGGCCTGCTACCATATGCCACGTGTGTTTGCCCTTTTCATGTGAGAGTTCCCACTAACCTGGGTTGATGCGTGGCGTGAAGAGATGGGTTGGAGAAGTGCAGCATGGCGGCATGCACCGTGACATCCAGCTGGGCGAAGTGCATGGTGTCGAATGTGACCGGCGTGTACTCATGCACGTGCTGCCACATGCCCATGCTGCCTGCTGCCACACACACACCCACATGCTCCCTGTTGCTGCCACAAATACACATGCTGCCTGCTACCATATGCCACTTGTGTTTGCCTTTTGAGGCATCTGAACACTCCAAGAATACACTTCCACTGACCTGGGTCGATGTGCGGATTGCAGAGGCGGGTTGGAGAAATGCAGCATGGCGGCATGAACAGTGACGTCCAGCTGTGCGAAGTGCATGGTGTCGAATGTGACAGGCGTGTACTCGTGCACGTGGTGCCACATGCCGCCCGGAATGCGCACTATCTGCCGCGCTACAGGGTCTAGGTCGTCGGGTGGGACGTTGCCGCGGCCCGCTGTGAAGGGCGCGTGGAGGAGCTCGAAACGCAGCGATACGGGCTCGTCGAATGGCCTCTGGGGGACAGGGGAAGGGGACGAGAAGGGCGCAGGGATGCAAGCACACACAAGTGCATGCAGGCGGGAGAAGAGACGCAGACCATGAGAGACATGTTGCACACATGAGAGACATGTTGCACACATGAGAGACATGTTGCACACATCTGAGTTGCGTCCAGGTCATCAGGAGGCACGTTCCCCCCGCCCGCTGTGAAGGGCATGTGGAGGAGAGGAGCTCAAAGGGCAGCGATAGAGGGTTGTCGAATGGTCTCTGGAGGACAGGGACGAGGAACGCAGGGCACACACACGCAAGCACACACAGCGAGAAGAAGGACACGTGCATACCTTTTGGCGCACAGCAGGTCGAAGCAGGCGACCTCCCGAAGCCCCACATCCTGGCGTGTGCGTGCCATGCTCTTTGCCCACCACTGCCCCACACACACCACTGCCCCACACACACCAGTGCAACACATGTGCATTATGCATACCTTCTGGCGCACAGGCACGTGGAAGCAGGCGACCTCTCGCACCAGGCGCCTTACTGCCTGTGACGCCTGTGTGAGCATGCCCCACTACCACACACGCACATACCATTGCACCACTCGTACACACCTTGTGGCGCACGGGCAGGTGGAAGCAGGCGACCTCTCGTAACCCCACGTCCTGGCTTGTATGCACCACGCTCTTTGTTGTCTGTGCTTACTACTGCCCCACCACTGCAGCACTCGCACACACCTTCTGGCGCACGGGCAGGTGGAAGCACGCGACCTCTCTTAGCCCCACGTCCTGGCGGGCGAAGCGGATGCGGAAGTAGCGCGAGTGGTAGCTGCTGTCGCTGTCGTCCACCCGCCATGACGTCAGCGCCTCGCCCTTGTGAGTCTCTGGGACTGGGGTTGAGAGAGGAGGATGAATGAAACGTCAGGGACTGATGGAAATGACGCATCAGGGATTGACGGAATGTTTGATCGAATGTCACTGAAATGCTATAAACTGAGGGGATTTTCAAACAATGTCAGGGATTGGATTGATGGTAAGTTGTCAGCGATTGGTGGAATATCACGAACATTGTCATGAACTGATGGAATGTCATTGAGATGTCAGGCATTGATGGAATGGCATTGAAATGCCAGGCATTGATGGGATGTCAGTGAATTGTCAGGCATTGATGGGATGTCGTTGAAATGTCAGGGATTGATGTGATGTCAGTGGAATGTCAGGCATTGTTGATGGAATGTCAGGCATTGTTGATGGAATGTCAGTGGAACCTCAGGGATTGATGGGGTGGCTTTGAAATATCAGGCATTGTTGATGGAATGTACAATAAATGATGATGCAATGTCAATCAAGGAGGAAACGGAACACCGCAGAAACTGTAAGCTCACTCGCTGGAAGCATCAGAGGGAAGTTCAAGACGTGTGCTTGCTTCGTGCTCGCGAGGAACGGAAAGCTGACGTGACGGCTCACATGCGTACTGCAGATGTGTTTTGAGTCGACTCAAAACACACCTGAAAGCATCAGAGGGAAGTTCAAGACGTGTGCTTGCTGCGTGCTCGCGAGGAACGGAAAGCTGACGTGACGGCTCACATGCGTACTGCAGAACGCGTGACGGGGACGCCAATCGCCCGGAGCTGTCCCACACGCATTGCACCTTCACGCCGTACCACCTGCGATTGCACGATGCCACGTCAGCACGGACTGAAACCACGGAGATCCAACATACTGATAGACTCGAAACGAAGTCACACAAAAACGACATTCGCGACCAGGAAAGTGGTTACTAGCGTACCCTTGTTTCAGCAGGTCGAGGTTATGAAAATTGTGGAGATACACCGCTACCTCCAGCTCTGGCTGGTTCGCCATTCTTGACCGTTGATTCGCCGTAATCAACGACGTTCCTCAGCAGGTGGTGACTGTAGAGGTTGCGAGAAATTCGCGCAGGGAATCTGGCAGCTCTGGCTAGTTTCTCATTCGGTGTCAGGGCTGGTCCGAAATACAGTACCAGGGTCGAAGACGAATGGTGATTGGTCAAGCGTATGAAGAATGACCCATCGCGAATCACGGCTGTAACTCAGGTGCTTAAGAGGCAAAGATAGTGAGCAGCAAGAAAGTTACAGCGCACATATCGAGCACGAACGAGAGACCTAGCCATAGGCGAACGGAATCTATTTCCACACGAAATCACTCCATTCAGGGATTAGCTCAACAGATTTGGGGAAACAGTGAAGGGAGAGGGTGCTAGCATGTGAATGCACCCAATCCTGAGGTTCTCCCATCCCATCCCAACCTGCTAATGTTGACCTCATTTGGAGAGTGAAGCTCGTTCGGCACAGCAATTGCAACGGTACACTTCGTTGGGATTGCCTGCTAACTTCAAATATATCTACCTGTTCCCTGAAAAGCATTCCTGCTTGGTTTCATCATATCCGAACTTGTCTTGGGCTCTTGGGCTGTGCACTATTCTTGCATCAGCACAGAGCTTCTGAAGAACAAAAATCCATAAAGCCTCTAGAAAATCAAAACTAGCTATCTATGGCTGCATGCTATGTTGGCTTCTCGTACGTGTTGGCATCCATCCAATCACGGCACATCTTCTGCACCATGTCGGCTGCATCCGCTAGAATCAACATGTGAGTGTCGTCTAGAACCTGAGGAATGGCAACAGAGCGAACGGTAACATGAATCAAACGGATACTCATGCCTGCTTCAGAAACATGCGGTTCAGATTGAAGTTGGTTGGTTGAGATTTCTCAAAAATGAGTCAAACAACGAACAATGAGGGGTATTTGCGGAAGAGCATAGCACCTGAAGAATAAACTTCTCGGCGCCTCCCCGTTTGCTGTCCAGAAAGATGATATACTGCGCCATGGGGATGTCGCTGGTAGAAACGGAGCAAGAGAAAGAGAGGCGGAAAGGGAGGGAGGGCTGGAAGGGGGGAGAGGCGTGAGAGGGGAGCGCCTCCCCTCTTGCTGTCCAGAAAGATGATATACTGCGCCATGGGAATGTCGCTGGTAGAAACGGAGTGAGAGGAAGAGAGGGGGAAGGGGGGGATAGAAAGGGAACGGGAACGGGGAAGGGGGAAGGTGGGGGAGAGAGGTAAGAGGGGGGGAGAGAGGGAGGAGATGGCAGAAGAGAAAAGAGTCGCATGCGCTGAGCCATGCGAGCGTTGTTTGGGAAAGGATAGCTAAAACAGGTCAGAGACAGCAAGGAGGACATGAATGCAAACATCACTCGCACAGCTGCTACCACCAATGTTTGCACATAATCGGTGCCGCTGATACCGAGGCGACCGGCGAAACAAGAGCCATGGATGGAAGAACGGAAGAATGGACGACCTCAAATGGACTGTACTAACCATTCAATCAGCACATTTTTAAGTCGCCTAAAAAAGGAAGAACCGACGACCTTAAACAGCGGGTACTAACCATTCGATCAGGACACCCTTCTGCGCGTTCACCATCCTGCGCGCATCACTGTTTACAGCCACTAAAACCTGGCTAAAAAATTCACGTTACAGCGTCGTCGAGCTATTCATGCTATTGCTACAGGCACTCAGCACAGCCGAGAAATTTTTTCCTGCATGAATCATAATTCCAGGGCGCGGGGCGTTTCATGAAAATTTATATTTTTTAAAGCCCGAGTCTAGAATGGCAAGTGTTCAAGTTCAAGATTCTTGAACATGATTTCGCCCGTGAACATGGTAACCCGCCGTTGTGTGGGGCTCTCTCGCGATCCACTGTGAAGGTGTTTGAAGCGCAGTATTATGATTGGCTGAGGGCGTGTCTGAAGTGAATTTCGACGTTTGCCGACGAAACTTTCGTCGACGTTCCTTGACGAAACTCGACATCCGTTTTCAGCTGTGTTCACTTCAGACACCCACACGACAAAATAACCCACACGTGCCATAGGAACACTGTTATAAGTTGCCCATGAAAATTCGACGTGGAATTAACAGAATCATTCATGTAACTCAATTGTTTGCAATCTCGCGAATTTCGCTTAGCATAGATTGTTGCTGGTAACACCGGATATTCTACTGTCACATTGCCAGCGAAATTTCTCTAGCACGTGTCGCTCTCGTCTTAGTTCTTATTCACGTGTGTTTGCCACAGCTATGCAGACATGGCGTGTCGAAGAATTGTTTTTGAAACACTCACTGACTACAGTGACTCAAACAGCTGCCCGGTATCACTGTTCGACATCCCTCGACATGTGCACGAACGTCGAGTTTCGTCGAGGGATGTCAGGCTGCACTTCAGACACCAACACTTCGTCGACGAAATTTGACGAAACTCGACGTTTGCACTTCAGACACGCCCTGAAAGCACAACAGCAAAACCAATGTCGACACTCGCCAGAACAAACAAGACCCGGGAGCACTGTTCACACTTCCGGAAACTAAAAAGCTTCAAGCTACCTTTCTAGACTCCTTTAGTAGTAGGATCCGTAGCCCACAATATCGGCCGGCGTGTTCCTTGGCGTTTCATCCGATCTCTCGTGCCACGCGCAGATATATTTTAAACACTATTTAGGGCGTCGTTCCACACGCACCCGCCGCTCCTTGCGCGTTCGTAGGTCCAGTCGCGCGCTAGTGGCGAACGTCGTTCCCGCACGGCCCGTCGCCCTCGTCGCGTCTGTCCTAGGGTCCGCGCCCGTCACTCCCGTCCCGGTCGTGCCCTCCGTCCTTCCTCCTTTCCCCCCCGTCCCTGCCGTCGCCCAGCACCCTCCGTCCCTTCCGTTGCGCGCCTCGCTTCCCTCCCGCATTCGCTCCGTAGCGAACCTCCTTCCCTCTCCTCCGATCGTCAACCGTCCCTCATCCGCACCTCTCAGGCATTTGCTTCATTCGTCCCTCGTCCATTTGCTCGGGATCGTGTGGGTGCTTGCCATTTCGTCGTTCTCTGGTTTTTTTTTTTTTTTTTTTTTTTTTTTGTCATCCAAGCCAAGATCAGAAAGTACTTCTTAAAATAAAGCCCTTATAAGAAACGGGCCACACCTAGCCATGCTTCCTAGCATGCATCCGCCCCGCACCGCGTGGGCCAATTTATGGGACCAAAGGGCTTTCTATTCCCTCTCCCGCCTCCTAGGCCTATAGCCTAATCATCACCCCTAACTAGGGCTTAGCAAATAGCCATCGCAAACCCCTTTGGGTTGCCCACGGTCAACGCACTTGACGTGCACCGTGCCACGCGCGCTAAGGCGCAAACGCTCAAGGACCGTCCCTACACCACGGGTGCGGGTCCTTGGCCACCATTGCCATTCCGCGGGCAGCCACTTGCCACATGCCCCGGCTGGCCACAGCGGAAGCACGTCCCACGGAAGCCGTGGAAGCTCCCCATAGGCGGGCCACGCTTGGGGTTGAACGCCATTGGCCCGCGTCCTCCGCCGCGGTGGGATCGAGCGTGCATACCCTCCGCGCGATCCATTGCTGCCACGTCGGCGACGGCTTGCTTGAAGGGGCGGGAGGTGAGGAGGCTCTTCCGCTGGTACATCTTGAACCGCTTGGCGACGCGATCGTCGGTGGCGTCCTCGACTTGAAGCATTTCGTAGCGCTCCGAAATGTAGTCGAGGGCGCTCGCGACCATTTCAAGTCCGCCCGCCGCATCGCCGCGCTGCAGTTTGTACTCCGCGTGCTTCAGGTAGGCCCTCACGTCCTCCAGGGGCTCCACTTTCGCTCGCACGATCGGGTCGATGAAGTTTGCCGCCGAAAAAGTGGGGTTAGGGGAAGGGAGGGGGGGAAGATTTTCCATGGAGGCAAAATTTGTTGCGTTGTTCGGAGCCTCACCGGCGTCGTCGTCTGAGTCGTCGGAGTCGTTGTTGACCGCTGCGGCTTCAGGAGCACTGGTCACCGCCTCCTTGTCGTGGCGGCGCGTTGATGGTCCTTTTGCTCCTTTCTCCTTTTTTGCAATGTCGTTTTTGTCAGAATATATTTGATATATGTTCTGTATAAGCGCATGTAGTTCTAGCTGTAGTGTAGTCCCATTATTGTCCTGTGTGGTGGTGCACCACTCCTTGCATGCTTCTCCTCTATTTGTACTTGTCATTCTATAGTTGAATCACTCCTTTTGCTTGGACTTCTACTTTGCCTAAGGCTAAACCCTAGCTCCTACTCCTGACTAAGCATCCTAAGCCTAAACCTAGTTTCCTAGGTGCTTAGTATCTTGACATGGTATCAGAGCGTTTCGATCCTATGCCTACTACGCTTCCGCTCATGGGCCCCTCTGCCCGTTTTTCTGCCCGTCGGTTTTCTGCCCGTCGATTTCGGATCCCGTCGGTTTTCTGCCTGTCGCGTGCCCCGGGCGCGCGTCGATTTTCTGCTCGTCGCGCGCCCCGGGCGTGCGGCGATTTCGTCCCCGTCGTGCGCCCCGGGCGCGCGACGGTTTCCTGCCCGTCGCGCGCCCCGGGCGTGCGACGGTTTCTGCCCGTCGCGCGCCTTGGACGCGCTACGGGTTCTGCCCGCCAGCGCGCCCTGCGGTCGCCCGCGCACCTCCTACCCCGCCCCCCCGCCCACCCCCCCCCACCCTTCCCCTTCATCTCCATGCTGCGCGTGCGGCAGTGGGGGGGAGGGTGTGGGGGTGGCCTCTCTCCCACTGCTGCAGCTGCTGCTGAGGGGGGGAGGGTGTGGGGGAAGCCGAGGGAGTGTGGGGGGAGCTGGGGGTGGCGGGTGTGAGTAAGCTGCCCCTCCTCCTTCTCTCTCTCCCACTGCTGCAGCTGCTGCTGAGGGGGGGAGGGTGTGGGGGGAGCCGAGGGAATGGCGCTAGTGTTGTAGAAGGGGGTGTGGGGCAATGGGGGAAGTTGAACGGAGGTAGCCGTCGTGTCGCCAGTAGCGCCAGTAGTCCGGGGCCCTCGTGCTCTCGGTAGCCCAGCGAGCCTGCTACGCCAGTCGCCCGTGGGTCCGTTGCTCTTGCCGCTCCTCGTTGCCGCCGAGCCAGTTACTCCAGTAGTCCGGGGCGCTGTCCCGGTAGCCACTGTGCCAGCCGCTCCTGTCGCCCGTGTGTCTGCAGCTTCAGCCGCCGCCTCCTGTCTCCTCTCCTCTCACAGTTCTTCCCCCTCCTCCTCACTTCGCCTCTCCTTCTGCTGCGCCCTGCAGGGTGTACCACTTCAGGGGGTGTTCTGCACATGGCTATTCCTGCATGCACTTTGGGGGTGTGTCGGAATATATTTGATATATGTTCTGTATAAGCGCATGTAGTTCTAGCTGTAGTGTAGTCCCATTATTGTCCTGTGTGGTGGTGCACCACTCCTTGCATGCTTCTCTTCTATTTGTACTTGTCATTCTATAGTTGAATCACTCCTTTTGCTTGGACTTCTACTTTGCCTAAGGCTAAACCCTAGCTCCTACTCCTAACTAAGCATCCTAAGCCTAAACCTAGTTTCCTAGGTGCTTAGTATCTTGACAGTTTTTAGCCGATGCAGATGCTGCGGGTTGTGTAGTTTCGGCGGCGGTCGCGCTAGCGGGGTGCTGCTGTAACAGGGACAGGAGGGCCTTGACTTGGTCCGGGGTCAACGCCTCGGTCAAGGCTTGGTCAGCCGTCGCGTCGGACGAAGCGGCCGTACGACGCCTCTGGCGCTGACGCGACGGCCGGCCGGAGGCGTGTGCCGCTGGCGCGTGCTCCGCGTCAGTGGCGTGTGTCGCCACGTTCGCCACAGGCGCCACTGGCGCCACATGTGCCACTGGCGCCGAAGGGTGCTGGGGGTGCTGCTCGGCGTTTTTGTTGACTTCGAGCCCGTCCAGTAGCACGTCCACGGCGGTCGGGCCGGATGTTTCGCCGTCTGCCCGGCGCTTGTTGCGACGCTCGCCCGTCGTTTCACGGGCGTTACTGTCGTTGTCGGAAATAATTGGGTCGTTGGCGACGTTGTTGTTGGCACGGTTAAGTGTCGGCGTTGCAGTCATAGTTGAGCGGTTTTGGTTAAGGATGTCGGCTAATAAAGTTGAAGGGGAAACGCCTCTAGGCAACGAGCGAGTTCTCGCCAGCTTGAACGGTAAAACTAGAAGTGAGCTTGAGAAACTAGAGTTGTATGAGCCGTTGGAAAAATGAGAGACGTGGGTGGAGGGAAATGAGCTCCAACCCACGATTTGTAGTTGGAGAAGGGCGTTTAGCGCGCTTCGACGATGCCAAAACATGTGTTACAAGCAGCTGCGCTTTCGAAATACGAAATTTTGAAAAACACTTCGTGTGTTTAAAGCCCGAGTCTAGAATGGCAAGGGTTCAAAAATACTGAACTTGAGAGGTGTTGGGCGAAGTTTTGCGAGAACCATTTTTGCGAAGACCTTAGGCGAAGGTTGAACGGAACACTGTGGATCGCCTGCCACTACATTCTATTAGAACAAACATGAACCACCGAAACGACAAAACAAAACCGAACCAATCCTCACGCACCACACAGCTCGAAACTCCACATCGCTCGCAGTGCGCCGTGTGATGCCCCA